TTGGTTTTGTTAATGTGTTTTGTTTAAAGTTTTCATCCTCTGAGATGAAATACTAATATCTGTATTAATACCATATCATTCTACCATTTAAAAAGTTCTGGTCACAGCCAAGTGGTGGTGGTGCACATTTTTAATCCCAGCACTCAGGAGGCAGGCTAATCTCCAAGATTGAGGCCAGCCAGATCTACTGAGTAAGCTCCAGGACAGCCAGGGATACATGGAGAAACCCTGTCTCAAAAAACAAAGTTCTGGGCCCAGTTGTGGTCTTATGGCAGGAGTGCCATTTAGGAATGCCAACCAACACTAGCATCACATGCCACAGTCTCTCTGAAGGACATTGAACAATTAGTGCTATGAACCCAGGTACAGCTAGTCTCCTACGAGTGCTAACCAACATCACACGACACTTTAAATTGAGAAGTGTACGATTATCCTTTGCAGCTGTCAGACAATTAAAGCTGAACTGTAAAAATCTTTGAAGCCAGCGTCAGCGCAGAGCAGCAACTTTTGCTGAATGAAGAGAGAGAAAGAGAGAAAGAGAGAGAGAGAGAGAGAGAGAGAATGCCAGAAGTAAAATTCTCATCATGGTATTAATGTTTATTCTTTCTGGTTAAGGTGCCCATTAGAGAAGCCAAGTTAAAATCAGAAAACTAGGTCACACAGAGAAAACCTGTCTCAAAGAACCAAAGAGAAAAAAGAAAGAAGATAATCAGAAAATTAGGCCAGCTGTACAGATGAACTTAAAGGCCCAGCAATGAGGAAGTTAAGGCAGGATTGAGGTCACCTTGGACTATGACCTTAGAGTTTCAATTGGTATGATGAGAAAACACGACCAAAGCAACTTGGGGAAGAAAGGTTTATTAGGCTTACATTTCCATGGTGTAGACCATCACTGAAGAAGTGTGACAGGAACTCAGGCAGGGCTGGAACCTGGAGGTGGGGGCTGATGCAGAGACCATGAAGGGGTGCTGCTTATTGGATTGCTCCCCATGGCTTGCTCAGCCTGCTTTCTTATAGACCCCAGGACCACCAGGCCAGGGACAGAATATCCTAAAATGAACTGGTTCCTCATCTATCAATCACTAATTAAGAAAAAGCCCTACAGGTTTACTTACAGCCTGATTTTATGAAGGCATTTTCTTAATTAAGCTTCCTTCCTCTTAATTTAGTTTGTGTCAAGCTGAAATAAAACTAGCCAGCACAGATACATGGTGAGGCTGCATCACAACAGGAATAACAAAGCTGATTGAGCTGGGGTTGTAGCTCAGTACTAATCATTTTTGTAACATGTAGAAGGTGCTGGTTTCAATTTCCAGCATTAAAAATATCATTGACAACAATAATAAAACCTCAGAAGATTTCTTAGTATTTTTTTTTAAGGCAGGGTTTCTCTGTGTACCCCTGGCTGTCCTGGAATTTGCTTTGTAGACCAGGCTGAACTCACAGAGATTACTCCGCCTCTGCCTCCTGAGTGCTGGGATTAGAGATGTGCACCACCACCACCCAGCACTTAGTGCTTATTCATTTCCTAGATTGAGCAGGGTAGTGCCAACATTGCCACCTTTGCTCCCAGCTCTCTGAAGATGCTCGGTACAGCTGGGGGTGTTTATGCACTGAATGATCGTCATCTCAGGATCGTAGGAAAGGTTACTTTCCCTGAAGCCGAGTGAGAGAAGTCTTAGTCCACACTGCTTGATAGTCTAACACAAACGGTAATTATTCTTTCTTGATGATAACATACCTTTCACCTGGTCTAAAGGAAGCACATGGAGAAAGATCTCCCAGAAAGGTTTCTCAAGAAAATACTACTTTTGCTCATTAAAAAGGGACAAGGACCATCAGGGATGGCTTCATAGGTAAAGACACTCGATGAGAACCCTGACAACTCAAGTTGAACCCCAGAGGCTATATAAAAGTCAGAGGCAAGAACTGGCCTTACACAGCAGATGCCTGATCTCCACAGTGTGTCATGGTGCATGTCTTCTCTACAACCAAGTAATAAAACAATTTAAAAAAAATATTTACTTAGTTTTTGTGTATGAGTGTTTTGCCTGTGCATATACGTTTCCATAACTATGCCCAGGAGAACAGGAATGACAGGAACCCACAGGACTGGAGTTAGATAGTTGGAAGCCACTATGTGGGTGCTGTGGACCCAATCCCAGGTCTTTTACAAAAGCAATTCTCTAGCACAGTAAAACATTTTTAAAAAGAGCAGGGGGCAGGGGTGCTGAGGACCAGATGTGATGGTACTCATCAGTAACCCCAGTACTCTGGGGGCAGGGATGCTGAGGACCAGATGTGATGGTACTCATCTGTAATCCCAGTACTCTGGGGGAAGGGATGCGGAGGACCAGATGTGATGGTACTCATCTGTAATCCCAGTACTCTGGGGGAAGGGATGCGGAGGACCAGATGTGATGGTATTCATCAGTAAACCCAGTACTCTGAGGCTAAAGTAGAAGAATCACCATTTTGAAGTCAGCTAGGACTACAAGGGAACTCTGGTTCAAAAAAAAAAAAATAGGACTGGGAATGTAGTTCAGTGCTAGAGCATGGGCTGAGTACATAACAATGAAAAAAGATCCATAAAATTGAAAAGAAAAGAAAAGAACAGAAAGTGTGGATGAAGTCAACAAGAAAATATGGTTCTCCCACAGAATCAACTAACCTGGGCTCATAGGGGATCACAGAGCTTGAACCGACAACCAGCGAACTTGCGTGGGACTAACCTAAGCACTCTACATAGAAGTCATAGTTGTGTAGTTTGGTCTTTTTGAGGAACTCCTAACAGTGGGAACAAGGGCTGTCTCTCACTCTGTTACCTGCTTTGGGGACCCATTCTCCGACTGGGTTACCTCATCCAGTCTTAGTAGGAGAGGAAGTTACCTATTCTCACCGCAAGTTGACAGGCCTTGGCTGTTTGACATCCGTGGGAGGCCCGCCCTTTTCTGAAGAGAAAAGGAGGAGGAATTTATGAGAGTGGGAAGAGAGGAGGTTGGGCGGGGGGACTGGGAGGAGAAGAGGGAGGGAGGGGAACTTTGATTGGGCTAGAAAAGAATACTTTAAAAAGAGAAAACACAGTTCTTTGAGCAGGTGTTGTCATAACTGGATATGAGGACTGGGGCAACTAGAACTCCCTCTCTCACTTCTCTGTTACTCTGCAGAATAAAGTCAAAATCCTAAGAAAGTTAGAGCAAGGAAAACCACACAGAAGCAGCTCCAGAGACTAGCTTTTCTGTCTGCTGAGCAGGCCTTTCACAGTATGTTCTGAGAAATGACAAGCACTCTTACTACTCCGAATACTACTCTTGAAATGGCGTTTATATGATCTTAGCCACAAGGACGTTGGCTTCCCATGACTGCTGAAGGTGGTTGGCTCTTCACTCCTTGATGACTAACCCTTTGTAAAACCTGAGTCACTGCCGTTGCAGGTATAGACTGGTCCGACTGCCTAACCTGAAGGGTTAGACTCTGACCTCAGTCATCACGGCTTGTCAAGTAGGCTTGCTGCTAGGAACTGAGTGGGAGGACCTTGGACAGTCCAGAGACTTAATCATGAACTAAGTTTTGTGGCCTTTCCTGTGGAGATGTAAACTAATGTCTATCCATTTCAAATAAGGCACTGACAACAGATCAAAGGTAATTCCAGCAAGTCCAGCTTAGTAATGCAGTTTATTGGGTCATTTACGATGATGTACTTCGAGGTTACTTAGAGGAGCATGGATAACTCAAAAACAGATGCATCCTCTTCAATACACTCCAGCATGGTGATGACTCTCCCAAGCCACATCTTTGAAGCTCACTGCACAAGTTCTAGCAGATTCCAGAGGCTTCTCCTTTGCAAATGCTGACCATTTTGACATTGTTAGGGAGGGGAGAGCTTGTAAATTTCAGGGAGTCTAGTATCTTCCTAAACCTTATAAGTATGTTTCCTTTACTTACTAAATCTTGGGTGCTTCTGGCTTCTCTCCTCCCTCCAGAGAGTTCTTACAACAAGTTTTCAGTACCAAAAGAAGAAAACATTTTGGTTTTGTTTTTGAGACATTTTGTTTTTGTTTTGTTTTCTCTTTGTAGACCAGGCTAGCCTTGAACACACAGAGATACACCTGCCTCTGCCTACTAATTGCTAGAACCAAAGGTATGTGCCACCACCACCACCCAGTGTGAGAGTTTTACCAAGAGACTGTCTAAATCATATTGGTCTTTAGAGGATTGTCTTAACTGTATTAATTATGGATGACACCATTCCTTGGGTTTTGGTTCTGGACTATACAAGTATAGGCAGTGTGCTGAGCATAAGTAGGCATGAGTGCATTCTTTGCTTTTTCTGTTGTTATTTTTATTAGTTTATGTGTCTGGGTTTTTGTCTTGCATGTATGTGAACCACACGAGTGCAGTCCCCTTGGAGACCAGAAAAGGGTATTGGATTTCTTGGGACTTGAGCTCCAAACAGTTGTGAGCTGCCACGAGTATGCTGGGAATCCAACCCTGTTTCCCTGGAAAATAAGTCAGTGCTCCCAATCAAGGAGTCATTGTTCCAGGCCCTCCTTCTGCTCTGGGCTGTTACTTTGGCTGCTTTAAGTTCCTGCCTTGACTTCCAGCAATGATGGCCTCTAACTTGAACCTGGGAGCCCAGGAAGCCCTTTCACCTTCACAGTGCTTTTTGTCAGGGTGTTTATCACACCAGCAGGAACCGAAACAGGACACCACATAACTCCTCAAAGGTATTAACCCCACAGTAACTCCATCTGGTGAGAGGGAGGTAGATGAAATTCCAGAGAAAGAACTTAAAATAACAATTGTAATAATTAGACTAAAAACACAAATAGGTGAGCCAAATAACAAAGGCAATCAGCTAAGCAGTGGTGGTGCACACTTTTAATCCAAGCACTCAGGAGGCAGAGGCAGGAGGATCTCTGTGAGTCTGTGAGTTAAGAGGCCAGCCTGGTCTGGTCTACAGAGTGATTTCCAGGACAGTCAGGGCTACACAGAGAAACCATTTTTTTTATGCTCCGCCCCCAAAATAAAGAAAAAAAGATTGATTCTAGTGGGGGTGGAGGGAGGAGAAACGTTAGGAGGGCACAGCTGGAGCTGAGCAATGTGGAATGGCAGGAAATGATCTGGAGTAGGCAAGACCGTCAAGCCAGACACGGGGGTGTTGCACATCAGAGCCTGTGGTGGCCTGGGTGTCACCACGCTGTAGTCTTCCAAAAGCAGTAGTCAAGCTGATCTTCACCGTCATTCCACGTGTGTCAAATCGGATCTCCTAGGGCAGGCGTTATTCAGTAACCTATTTGATGGGGTCACCGCACCCTAGGTCATGCTTTCCTGAGCCACCTGATTTACGAGGGCCCCCTGGCTCGCAGTCACCCGAGGGCCACGCCTCCCTGGCCAAACATCCAGCCAGCGCGCTAGGCTTTGTTCCCAGAAACAGGTTTCCAAAACGCGGCACCTTCTCGGCTCCAGTGGTTTTCTTACCGAGTGCAGGAGGCCCGAGAGCGGCGGCGGTAGCCGCCTGACTGCTGCTTTGCGGCCCAGGAAGGGCCTGACCCACAGCCTCCTCAACCTCCTCCCCGAACGCGGGAGCAGCACGAGTAGCTCACGGCCGGACCCTCGCGAACGCACTCCTGATTGGCTGCCCCGGGAGACGTCAACGGGAGGGCCCCCGCAGTGTGTGTGGGGGGGGGGGGGCGCCCGACTCCGCGCGTGCGCAAAGGGAGTGCGCTGGACCAAGGGGGAGGTGCCCGGCCGCTTCTCCCGCGTCCGCCATTTTGTTGCTGTGGCTATTGGGAACGGGCAGGGTAAAACGGCCCGGGAGGCGCGACTCTTGCTGGAGTAGGCTGCTTCGGGTGACGGCGAGGGTCGCTGCGGGCTCCTGAGACTGCGGAGCCGGCGGGTTCCAGGACAGGAGTCACCGGAGCCAGCCCTGGTCGCCGGGCAGCCGAGAAGCCCGAGGCGGCCTCCGCTACTGCTCCGCTTCGCCCACCTCGACCCCGGGGCTTTGCCCAGTGTTCCCGGGCCGGCTCTTTCCGTGAGGCGGCCCGGTGCAGGCGGGCGGTGGCGGAGGATGCTGTGGGGCCCGGAGCCGAGGGTGAGGTCCTGACCCAGCCCTCTGATTGCTCTTTCGAGAGGCCCTTCCTCGGCCCCAAAGCCGACAGCGGGTAAAGGCTTCGCGAGCCGGCGAGAGCAGCAGACGCCGCCCATCCCGGACCCAACACCATGTCGTCCGCCAGGTTTGATTCTGCAGACCGCTCTGCCTGGTACATGGGACCAGTGTCTCGCCAGGAGGCGCAGACCCGTCTCCAGGGTCAGCGCCATGGAATGTTCCTAGTCCGGGACTCCTCTACCTGCCCCGGGGACTATGTACTATCCGTGTCCGAGAACTCGCGTGTCTCGCACTACATCATTAATTCCTTGCCCAACCGCCGCTTTAAGATCGGGGACCAGGAGTTCGATCATTTGCCGGCCTTGCTGGAGTTCTACAAGATCCACTACCTGGATACTACCACCTTAATCGAACCAGCGCCCAGGTACGCTAGCTCCTGCAGTTCTCTGGCTCGGAACCTGACCCGCTGCGGAGGGTCGGTCAGATAATTGAATTTTGAGGGTGGGGGAAATTGAACTTCTTTTCCTCATTCTAAACCAGAAGACATTGGGATTGGAAGGCCAGTGTCAGGATCTGGGTCACTGGATGGAAGGATGCTTTTTATTTAGACATTTAGCTGTGATTGTATTGTTCAAATGCACCCACCGACACATATACACAATTTTGCCACTTTAGCTGACTGTAATGCAGAATTCTTTTTAACGACATTAAAAAGTCTGTAGACTTCCTTGAGAATCCAAAGATAGCCATGACTCTCTCCCCTCGAAAATTCACGGAAAGTTTGTACACCATTTAAGGTTTTTGGAAGCCCTGCATCTCAACAGCTAACTGCAGGTTAAGAACTGGCTACGGTCTTTGGAAAAATCGTTAAAATGAACCGAAAACGTAGAAATTGATGACGACCTTGAAGTAGCACCCCTCCTTTAAAAAAAAAAAGACTAGGATTACAAAGGAAAGAGAGTGATTATATTTGAGAAATTTGTATCGTCACCTGCCTTCCTCAGGGTGGGAAGTGTATTTACTTTAATTCTACATTAATTCAGTTTTAGATTTTTTTGATAATTAAGTTTAGTTGCTTAACATATTCTTTAAAGAAACAGTACAGCTGGATGAGCGAGGTACACCTTCACCGCCCCCCGGCGGGTCCCCCCCCCCAGGAAAAGAGGACCTTGGGTTCCAAGCCAAATTGGGCTCTAGCTAGACCATGACTTAAAGGAAAAGAAAAGAAGGAAGCTGATCACTTAAGTGTTTCAAGTAAAATGCATTGTTTTATAATTTGCTTTAATTTCCTTTAATGAATATCATATTAAATTATATCAAATGATACCAAATGTGAGTTGAAAAAGTAGAGGCTTTCAAAGGTATTTCATTGCCTGGTTTATTTCTAAGCTATTTTCTAAAAGGGATTGAGTGTTGATTTAGACTTTTCAGGGTGAAGTGACCTCATAGAATTGCTAAGGAGGTAATTTGCTCCAAACTTTGAAGTTGAAAAGGTACTGTACTTCATTAAGGACACCTACTAAAAGCCAAAGGATAGAAGAAATAGTGTAAAGTTAACTGCCAGAGTCAGTGGAGTTAACAAAAATGTGGAGAAGGGGCTAGGCTTGATGGCTTCGTGTGTTTGCAGCCTGGATGGCCTGAGTTGGATCCCCCAAATCCACATAAATGTGGAAGAGAGAGAACTGACTCCACAGAGTTGTCCTTTAGCCACAGTATATGTGCACCATGGCAAGTGAGTACCCACACACACGTCAATAGTTTAAAAAATGTAAAACCCAGAAAGTGTCTGTAATAGTAGTCTGTGCTGTAGAGATGAGGATACTAAGAACTCGCTGAAACGTGGAGATTCTGGTAGATGCTGGCAGGTGCTGTCACCTTTAATAATTTCAGTCTAGGAGCTTGTTAAACTTAGGAAGTATAATGTTTGGTAATATATTTAAGTAAATTACCTAATTTGTGAAAGTGAATTATATTATTGACTTTAAGCCTTTATTAAAACATGCTTGCAACAATGTAACAGGTGTTGGAGAAAGTCTAAGTTAATTATTAGATTCCTTTCAAGGAGGAAAAGTATATACTGCAATGGCTTCCTGTTATCCTTAAATCTAATTCTACTTCATATGTCTACTCAGGTACCAATTTTCTGTATTACCAATGAAATTTTCTGAAATTTTCCTTAGCTCTACTTGACTCACTTTGGTATCTTTTCTTTCATGCTCAATTTCCAAATGAAAATAATAACTAAGACATAATTATTCCTAGCATAATATAACTCTCCCTTGTACAACTGCAAAAGCATTATAAATTTTAGAATAGAGGGCAATATCCCTTGAGAGATTCTTTTAGTGTCTCAAAACTTAAATATCTGATAGTCTCTTGATGTTATATTACATGATAAAGAAATAGAGGGAAAATCACAAATATTTGTACAAATACATACTTAACAAAATGTGGTAGAAACACGTGTTGATTTTAATCTTTGTCACTGCAACTGGTCAGGTGGCCTTAGCTGGTATTTATGATTACCTTTCTTCATTCCATGTTTCCTCCACCCTCAGCAAGCATCTCAACAGGTATTGGCTTTTCCTGGAAGAATAACCCATACCTTCATTCCTGAAGGGTCCATGTCCTTTGTCATCCTGCCTGGATCAGGTTGTTGTAGTTTCCTATTGGCGTGATTCACAGGACACGGTAGGACTAAGAAACACCCTAGAGGATCTCCTACACTCCAGACATAATCTGTCTTCCTCCACTGGGGAGAAAAAATTCAATTTCCCCTTGGTAATCTGGGTCAGTTGCCCCTCTTAACATTGTTATGTCTTTCTTAGCCTGTTGGCTCAAGGGTATCAGAAGCCCACAGTGGTCAGGGGGAAGTCTGTGCTTCCAATCAAATGGGAATGTTTGTTGTGTCTCCTGGCAGGAGCTCTTCCCCATCTGGAACCAAAACTTCTAGGCCAGCAGAACTTAAGGTTGCAGGAACAGGAAGCAGGAATGTTCCTGGTAGGTTATTAGGGGTGATAGTGGAACCTTCCCTTGATTCCTGGGCTATGGATCTTGGCTATGTTGGGTGCTGATTCAAAGCATATGCTGCCTTGAGAATCTTCCCCAGCTCCTCAGGCTGCTGCCACCTAATTGGTGCTGTAGCTATGTATTCAAAAGACTGTTCCATCTTTCTGTTGGGTCAGGGGCGTCAGGATGGTGGGAAATATTATGAGATTAGTGGATTCCATGATCACGACCTCACTCTTGCTTATCTCTGACTGTGAAGTGAGTTCTTTGGTCAGAAGCAATACTGTGTGGAATACCATGTCAGTGCAGCAGGCATTCTATCAATCCATGGATGGTGGTTTTGGCCAAAGCATTGTGTGCAAGAAAGGGAACTCCATAACCAGAATATCTTTTCTAACCTATTACAGTGTTTTATCCTTTCCACAGAGGAAGTGACCAGTGTAGACATCCTGCTACCAGGTTGCTAGCTGGTCACCCTGGGGTATGGTGCCATATCTAGGGCTCAGTGTTGGTCTCTGCTGTTGGCAGATCTGGCATTCAACAGAAACTGTAGCCAGGTTAGCCTTGGTGACTGGGAGTTCATGTTGTTGAACCCATACATACCCCCCATCTCTGCCACCGTGCCATTTTTTTTTGTGGGCCCGTTGGACAGTGTCAGGGATGACTGGGGAAAAAGACTGACAGTCCATAGAACAGGTCATCTTACCTACGTGATTATTGAACTCCTCCACTGTAGAAGTCACCTTTAATAAACGTTTACATGGGACACAAGCATCTTAACATCCTTCACCCTTTTAGAGAGATCTATTTACATACTTCTTCTCCAAAAGTCTTTCTTACTAATTTTCCAGTCATGCTCTTTCCAAGTCCCTGACCATCCAGGCAATCCATTGCCTACAGCCCGTGAATCAGTGAACAATCACACATCTGGTCATTTCTCCTTCCAAACAAAATGTATGACCATGTGTACTGCCTGAAGTTCTGCCCTCAGTGAAGATTTGTGGCCTTCAGGGTTATCCCAGAAAGGGGTTATAATGCTGCAGCTGTCCACTTCTGGTTGGTGCCTGCATAGCATGCAGAACTATCAGTAAACCAGGCCCAGTCTTCTTTTTCTGTCAACTAGCCATAGGGCACAGCCCATGAGGCTACAGGTGCATGCTTGGAAGCAGACAGCATTGTAGCTGGCGTAGAAATCATAGGCATTTGGGCAACTTCTTCATACAACTTCCTTGTGTCTTCAGGACCTGCCTGGGCCTGATCACATCTCTATCACTTCAGTTTGCTTGCCATAGAGTGCTACTGTGCACGTCCTTCTTTATGGCTTGATGGGTCAAATGATACCCAGATCACAATGAGCAGCTCAGGTTGCATGGTAACTTGGTGACCCATTGTCAAAGGTTCAGTTTCCACTGAGGCCCAATAGCAGCCAAGAGCTGTCACTCAAAGGTAGAGAGTAAGTTGTCTGCAGATGATGTAGAGCTTTGCTCCCAAATCCCAAAGGTTTCCTCTGTGATTTATCTCCAGGGACCTGCCAACGACTCCAAACAGCATCCCTGTCTGCCACTGACACCTCAAGTACCAAAGGGGTCTGCTGAATCATATGGCCCAAGTGGTGGAGCAGCCTGCACAGCAGCCTGGACCCATTGAAAAGCCTCTGTTCAGGCCCCACACAAATCTAACAGCTTTCTGAGTCACTTGGTGCTTGAGCTGGTATACCACACCCAAGTGAGGAATGTTCTGTCTCCAGAATCCAAATGGGCCCACTAAACATTGTGCTTCATTCTTAGTAGTGGGAGGGCCAGGTGCAATAACATCCTTCACCTTGGGAGGAATATCTCTGTATGCCCCACACCACTGGACTCCTAAGAATTTCACTGAGGTAGAAGGCCCTTGAATTTTGGTCGCATTTATTTCTCATATGATGTGCTTATATGTTAACAAGAATTCTAAATCTCTTGCTCACTTGGTCCAATGAACATAGTATTGTCATTACAGTAAACTAATGTGATATTTTGTTGAAGGGATCCCTTCAAATGAAATGATGACACAAGGCTGCAGATGTATATACTGTAAATGTATATTGCTGTTCTTACCAACTGAAAGCAAATTGCTTCTGGTGGTCCTTAGATCTATATAGCTGCATATCATGTACCGGGAGATGTGTTATTCCGCTCAAGTAAGGACACCACATCTGGTACAGCAGTTGCAATTGGGGTCACTACTTGATAGGGTTTTTTTGTTGTTGTTGTTGTTTGTTGTTTGTTGTTTGTGTTTTTTTTTTTTTGAGACAGGGTTTCTCTGTAGCTTTGGAGCTTGTCCTAGAATTAGCTCTTTTAGACCAGGCCAGCCTCGAACTCACAAAGATCCTCCTGCCTCTGCCTCCCAGGTGCTGGGATTAAAGCCATGCGCCACCAC